TCCGAATAGCGCATTTCGTTTGCCAATCGGATATCCTATCGAAGATGCGTTCGGAAATGGTTTTAAATGCAGGAACGAGAAACATATGAAGCATGAAAGGCATGGAAGAGAGAGCCTAGTACGAATATCCAATGATTTGACGAACGTTTGTGGTCACGCCTGGGTGTTGGCTGGGTAATATTGTTTTTTTATCAACGAGTCCAAGATTACGATTAATATGCGATGTGGTTTTTTTTCAGCAAACCAGAATCGCAAACGATGGGGGAAGAGCCCATGATCATGTATCCTCGTAAATTCGTTATGATGAGTTTTAATTCAAGAAGATGAGAAACGAAGCTGGCCCTTTTTATTGCAAAGTGAGTTTTAAAATAAAATAAAAAGATAGAGTTAGCTTGCCTCTTACAGAGCGTTTAGCTATTCAGACACCAGTAATTAGCAGTCTGTTACTTAGGTTAGGTTCTTCCTGCTCATTTAAATTGCGTGCACTCATCTCATGAGAAGGCCATGTTGGGTTATGTAAGCTAGCTGGGCCTCAATCAAAGAAACACAGGAGGTCACCTGACTTCGCGACAAGGAGTTCCTGCCTTCCACATACGCGACTCAATTAACAATCGCAACCCATTTCTCACCACTACAACGGGGATGGGTACGTAAATCGCCTTGGAATCAGTGTTTAGGCAGACTCTCAGCAGCTCCTAACCCATCTACTTTCAATTTTCGTGTGCTGGCTGCAGATGGTCGGCCTTCAGAAGCACAACTCACCAATCGATGCTGTGTTTGTGATTACTAGGAGCCTGGGTCTTTTCGAAGACGCGGCGCCTTGGGTAAATCTCGCCCAAAACCGCTCTAAATAATCCGGTAGCATACATATCTGGGTTTTATCGAAACTTTGTCCTCATCATGGCTCCTGGAAGCTCGTTGAAGAAGAGGAGCGGGAGGCTTCAGGCATTTGCTCGAGGTCTTCCGGATGGCGAGTCGCCCCAAGAAATTCCTAGCACTGTCCAAGAGGCTCCAGAGGGCAAGCAAAAACCTGAAGCTCATATTTCATCTGCGCCCCAGACGAGGGAAGAAGCCATTGAGAGCGCTCGTGTTCCCATTCCTAAGACCACTCGCCCTCCAGCGAACCATAATCATCCCTCCAATGCCAGCAAGTACGCGCGGTCTAGGTCTCCCCAGAAGAGGGCCCCAGGATCTCCGCGGAAAATATCCGACGAGACCAAGTTCAGACCTTCACAGGTACTCTCCCCTGGTTCTCCAGCCCGGTCAAAGTTCGAGAATCGTCCTAGGCGAACAATCTTCGAAGGCTCCCAGCTTGGAGACAACTTCCTTGATTCTGGATTCACCACCCCTCGAAATGAACGCGAGGAAGCATACGATGAAGGCCACTTGACTGAGGACGATGGCAAAGATGCTGGACGAAATGCGTACCCAAAGCCGAAAGATGTCCGCGACCGGCTTTACCAGGCGCCACAAGGTCGCAATCATGACATCTTTCAAATGGGTGAGAACGGTTTCATCACTATCAAATCTACTGCCGATAGGGCTGATCCTTCGTACATGCGAGACGGTTTCCAGACCGCGCCACGAAACAGCGCTGAGAATTACCAGAATGGTCGTGGTCGTCGGGATCCTTCAGCTGATCGCCACACGAAACTTGCAATTAGGGAAGTCAAGATTCGCAGACTTAGAGACAGTGGCAGGGATTTCCAGCCGATACAGGAAAAGCCTCGAAGCCCTAGTCCCGAGCGTGTAAGTCCTGAGCGGGTAAACCCTCCACGATGGCTTGATGATAAGGCTCTTGACGAAATTTCCGAATCCGATATGGGTGCCGCCCCTGGTCAGTCTGTGGAAGACGAGCCCGAGCCCGAACCTGAGGAAACCCCTCGCCCTAAGAAGACCAGGCCGTTTCCCATCAAAGAACTCATGGAGAGCGCCCTCCCCCAACCTACTATATCCCAAGGATACCTCGCAAAGAGCAAGAAACGGCATCGCGCAAGTCCTGATTATGACGATATGGCTCTGAGCTCGAAGACATTTGCCGACTTGCAAAATGAACCCTTCGATTTTGACCCTTCCAAGGCCATTCTGAGAAACGGACACAGAAATAACGGAGATGATTTAGCCACCAACCTGGAGCAATTCAAATATCAGGCTGAAAAAGACCAGGAGGCTTTCTTTTCCAACATGTCCATGAATGACTGGGAAGAATCAGGTGATTGGTTCGTAGACCAATTTGCCGACATCATGAAGAGACTGAAGATTGCAAGGAGGGAGAAAAGGCAAATGATCCAGGCTTTCGAAGAAGAGGCTGCTGCACGGGAAAAGCTGGTGCGCTGCAGGTCGGACGCCATTGACCTGAAGCTCGAGAAAATGAAGCACAATGGCCAGCGGGTGATTGGTGGCCAAGACTTTTAGAAGGGTATTTGAGACCACGAACTCGCTCTAATAAGCCGTGGCTGTTGAACAAAAGTGCGTTCGGGGGATACAAAGATCGACATTAGATCCATACATTTTTAAGGCATGCGTGCCTATGGCATTATTGGAGTTTTGGGCTGCTGCAAGGTTTCCGCTTTGTTTTGTTTTTGGTCATGAGCGAGCATATGAAAGAGATGTTTAGATGTTGACTGTGATTTAAACAGCTCAAGACGCACTTCGCATTAATGATGGCCAACTGAGGTTAAATTCTATGGTTATGTCGGGGAACTGGGTGGTGTCTTGAAAGAAGAACAGAATTATCCAATTATCTACAAGCTGGTGTTCTTTTTGGGGGTTCACTTAGACGGTTGTCACCTCCTTTACCTTTCTATCTCGACCAACAGACATCCTTAATTGTTTTCCAGGTTTCCCAGATATCACGCCCTGGCGCAGGGAATCAGTATAAAGCTCATAGGCAGGAAAATACCCATCCACAAATTTCACCACTTGCTCAGGTGACATGCCAGCGTTGGGATCGCCCTTGTCACGCCTCAGGTGCTCTTCCTGCTCGGCACGCCAGCCATAGACAAACTCGAGATCCTCGGCGTCAATATGGATGAAGGCGTCAAAGAGGTCTGTCAGTACATCGTACTGCCGCAGCCTCTCGTTGATGAAGAGGAGATGCTCAAGCTTGTGCTTCTGCAGGGTGCGGCTTGGGGCCTTCCACTTTGCCTCCACCTGATCGGGGGTCAGGCTGCGGAAACCTACAGACCAGCCCTCGAGGATGATTGCTTTTGTCAGCGGCTGGCCGGGCTGGTTGACGGAGCGCCATTGCGACTCAGGGGCCCGGTCACCGTGGCCGGCAAAGGCTGACTTGTCGTAGACGGGGATCTTGGTGGGCTTGCCCTCCATCAAGGCTGTGAAGACGGACTTGGCGAGGGGCATATCATGAGTTCCTTTATTGAGCAGAGAGTCAGCGGGCCGAAAACTTCACAGCTGTTTGCAGGATCGGCTGATTTCTGACGGGGACTTACCCGGCTCCCCTCGGTGCTGCACGAGAGCATTGTCGGGGTTCTGCCTGCCCAGGGCGACGAGGTCCTCGTGCTTCAGGTAGAAGTCGTCGATACTGCAGACCAAGGTGGGAGCGCCCTCCTGCTCCAGGGCATTTGCGAGCGCTGAGACCAGGGTCGTCTTGCCGGCGCCCTGGACGCCGTTGAGGCCAATGACGAGCGGGCGCGAGGTGGAATGGGACCTGAGCTGCTCGAGGATGAAGGGCACGCAGATGGGGGTCTTGTCATCTACGAATGAAGCCATGATGGGCGGCTAATATCCTGATTGGCGAGGAGTGTACCCAATTCCGTGAAATTTGGTGGTGGTGTTTTGCAGCTTCCCCCCGGATTTCGGAGACGGTTGGGGATGCCGCGGATATATTCAACACCGGGAGCTTTCCATGTCCGCAATATCCTTCGAAAACTACTGCTCTCGGTGTATCTTCCGCGCGGGTGGAGCGGAAATCACGGAGGGCGTGGTAATGCGGGGTTTTGATGGCAGCTAATTCGTACTCAGCCTGGGGCAAGTTGGAGAAAGGCAATGCCAGAAGCTAGGTAGGAGCTATATTTTGAGTAGGAAAGTATCTAAACGTGGCGTTAAAATTGATACACTTGGACGTTATGCTGCCGTATTTTCAAGTCTGCGTGGTATTGTAATATCATTCAGAACAATATGGCTTTCTGGGTCTGTCTTCTCCAATTGCAGGGATTATATGGCTGTAGGTATAAGCCAATAATAATACAGCGACGGTTTCTAGACGCCTATTACTTTGGTGCATATGCACTTAAACGTGTTTGAATGCCTCCTCACTCAGCCTCAATCAGATGCAGCAGGCATCAGCATGCGCGGGTGCCAACACTTCCGTGAGAGATGAGCTTCGACTGGCGCATAGACAGACCAGCTATTGTGTCGCTACTTTCTAAAAATACCGCCAGAGACGCGAACAATATCCAAAGTACTGTGTTACGCAGTGCGTATAACCAGCCAGAGCCACACAGCCCGCAACCATGAAGGGATTGTTTCGGGGGTCCACCACGAAAGACGATGAGAAGGGAGAAGAGCAGAAGCGAGCCCCGAATAAGTTACAGAAGAAAAGACCACCGGCAGTACCCTCTGAGGCAGTTAGGGGAGGTAGCTCACGGGAAGGAGAGCAACAAGCTACAAACAAACTCCAGAGAAAGAGTCACCATGCAGTAGCTGTTGAGACGGCTGGTAGGAGTCGCTCAAGGGAAGATTATCCGCCAGCTCTAGACCTAACGGACCTGGATAGACTTCTATCCATGCTAGACAGTGTCACGCCTGACGAGAATTCGGAAAACTCTTTGGAAAGGTTCGAAGAAGTTGTCAGGACTGTGGGGTATAAAGGTGCACGCTCTTCTTCTAGGTAACACCTCAACCCTTACACTTTTGCCTACATCTCTATTGCTTCCCGATTGCCGATTATAGAACTGACAGCTTTTAGGACACAAGAGGGTCAAAGATATAGATTTATGCGATCTTATCTGGAGAATCGGTTTGGTGATCCGGCTCATTGGATGGCCAGTTTCAAAACATTACAGCTCGTGCTGGTCATGCTTGATATTTATCCCTCGAGCTTCGAAAGGATGGCACGATCGATAGTGAGTGCTGCATCACAATTGGACGAGCTCCTCACAGACTCCTATCAGAAGTCCAGAATCATCTCATTATGTATCAGAATCGAGCGGAGAATCATGGGCCAGAATACTGTCCAGCTAGCTAGGGCGGACTGGAAACAGATGGTCCTTGAGAGGCCTGATCCTCGAGGCATGGCTGAGACAGCTTCCTCTCTTTTGTCGCCCTCACCGGGGACGAACGATCGGGGATCTCAACAATCCAGAAACGAAGAACTTACTCCGCAGCCACTTAGAACCATCAATTTCGATCTCGATACTAAGACGTCCGCTCGATATAGTGATGAGGATGCGCCTCCCAATGGGCATGAACTCGATAACATCGATGTCAACCAGGATGTCGAGCTCAGCAACACGATCACAGAAGCTTATCGTCGGCGGCAGAATGAGAGAGCTCAGAACGAAATCGAGAACGGACCGCTGCTCATCGAGTCGCGTGAACCCAAGAAGGTTACAGAGCCGTCAACAAGGAGTGGCAAGGTAGTTTCCGATCTTGTTCGAGACTCAAAGCTGGAGACGATTATTGCCAGCAACGGAAGTGTCGTCCGGCATATATCGTATGTATCAAATCCACGAATGCGCCAGCGCCGTATGAAGAAGGAGGAAACTTGGAGGCGGCAAAAAAAGCTTGGGAGTGGCTCCTTTGGTTGCGTTTGGCTAGAGGAGCGCATTGATGGAGATGACACTGGGAGACTCCGCGCGGTCAAGGAGATCACCAAGAGCCGAGAGGGGAAAGGGAGTGACATTGATTATAACCGTGAACTAGAAGCCATTGCTAAATTTTCTCACTCAAAGGTAAGCTCGCACTCGCGACTTGCACAAGGATGTGTGCTCACATATTTTAGTATGTCCATTGCTTTGTACAGTCCTCCGGCTGGTACGAGAGTGAGAACACAATCTTCATTACAATGGAGTACATTGAGAAGGGTGACCTTCAAAGCTACTTGGTACGCCCATTCCCAGAGGAGGAAGTAAAGCAGATTGCTTTTCAGCTTCTGGAGGGATTAGATTATATGCATGAGAATGGGTTCGCCCACCGGGATCTAAAACCCGCTGTAAGTTATCCTGTCTCTTTATCTTTGTTATACCGACGCTAAGATTCTTCAGAATATTCTCGTGTCTGAACCCTCACCCAAGTGGTGGGTCAAGATCAGCGATTTTGGGATTTCTAAAAGAGCTGAGGAGGAGGCCACTGCATACCGCACGTTTGTTGGCACGAGGGGATACCTTGCCCCAGAAATTCTTGGCATCTATTCTTTAGCCGACATGAATAACATCAGCTCGAGCCAGACTCTAGACGACTCCTCGAGTTTGTACACAGTCTCCGTGGATCTGTGGGCACTCGGGGCAATCATATACAGGCTACTCACCAACGAAATCCTGTTCGGCGACCCTCGTGATTTAGCAAAGTATGTTGCGGGAGGTCACCCGTTTCCTCGTGCGACAGCCTCAGAGCTTGGCGCCAGTGAAGCCTGCGTGGAGTTTCTGGAAAGTATCATGGCTCGCTCGCCCACCAGCCGGCCCTCATCATCCGAAGCTTTGCTTCACCCATGGCTATCTGAGTTGCAAGATCCAATTGATACAACAATTGATGCGTTGGAAGAACTGTAAGATATACTCGGGTGATATAGTGATTTGCCATGCTAATGAAGGCAGATCTATTGCTGTTGAAGACTCTCGGACAGAGCATACCATTGTTGACACATCGGTTGCAAGCGCGCAGTGGCCCACAAGCTTAGGATAAGTACATTGGGTGAAGCGCCGATTGAAGGAGACTTTCATACAAAAACACTTCTAGAGCTCCGAGGTGTGTGCTACATGATCCTGAAGATTATCAATCACGGCTTTAACGCCGAAATAGCTGCCGCAAAGGTCAGCTTTGAGGTGAGACACCTTCACCCATTAGCTACCTTGTTGAGCTGACAAGGATGCCATGTTTCTCTCATTCAGTCCACGAAAGGGCCGACTTCGCAGCGAGATGTCTTCGCATACCAGTTGTCAGAATGTATAGGAAAGTTTAGTGACTCCTCGTCATGCAGGAACAAGGCTTGGTAGTACATGTGTATCCATCATGATATGCGGCTCTTTTCGGCCTGGGCGAAAATGAATAGGCCAAGAAGCTTGATGTCTAGTTTTTTGCTGGTGTAATGGAAAAGTCTAGTCCTCGGCGTCTTCTCGTTTAAGCGGTCTACGAAACCAATATGTCACTCCGAACATAAGTTCCATGAAGATCAACGTGACTTCTAAATAGGGCAAAAAGTGTTCAAATATGCCGTAATAGTCACCAAAAACTCTGAAGTGCAGGTTTCTATCATTCTAACAGGAATGCTGCGTCGAGCAGGAATGGTCGGATGGAAGTAAGCCTTCGGACCAAGTGTTGGCACAAGAGGCTTCTCGTCGCTCAGCTATTTACCGGTGCACCAATAATTCGGAACAGAAATCATATGCCAAAATAATTGTGGCTCTGCACCTCCTGGTAATACATACTTGTGTTCGCGTGAGTCCGCATGGTCATTTGAGGCTCAAGAAAGGGCCGGCACAGCACGATAATGATCTCAACTATCCGACAATGTTTCAAACACAACCGTTCCGAAACCGAAAGAAAATTCCCTTCGTGAACATGATCTGCAACCTTTCATGATTCTCAGTCTTAGAAAAAGGGCTCCTCAGATTCCAGCAGTCAGGTATAAGTACCGTTGTTCTTACGTCTATATTTTCCATCGCATCAGTTCAAGCACAGTTTCTTTCAATCAACTCTCTATAAAGCCAAGAAGTTGGAGAATACAACAAAAAACATCAAGTCATAACTGTCAAGTTTCTTGCAATCAAAGTCTTTCAAGAAAAATGCAGTTCCCCCTCAACGCCGTCGTTGCCTTTGGCCTCATCAGCACCGCGTTAGGTGCCGGTATTCCCGCCGCTCCAGGTGAATCTCCTTCACCGGACATCATTGATGGATTGAAGCCCATATCCGCCCAGGCTTGCTACTACGACAAAGCTGTTGGCTGCAGCAAAGGAGGGTTCTGCTTCAGGCAGTGTGGCGAGCCCAAGGGTAACGGGAACTGGTGCTGGACCGTTACTTCTTCTAACGGATGGAAGAAATGCAAGAAGGACGGCGATTGCAGCATCAACGACAGATGCAGCAGCGGTGATTGCAAGGATTGCGGTTGCAGCTGTTAATATCCATGAATGCGGCTGGTTACATTGTGTCGTTCTAGATGTTGGATGCATATATTGGCTGGGTTAGAGAGACGCCTCAATTCGATCCTGAGGATGCCTTCAGATTCTCTCCAACGCCATCCCAATCTAGCATGTGCGATCTTGATCTTTACTACATGTTTAGATACTTACTCACTCCTCGTCAACAACATACTACCTAGGTGCCTACCTGGTCAATCTGTAACGTTTTCACACTGAACTACCAAAAAAAATATTAAATAGTGGCAGAAGGGGAATGATATTTGAATCTGGCCAATAAAAAACTAAGCCTTTCTCTTACATTGAATTATACACTTAATGTGAACATTCGCGCACGGGCAACAGCGTAGCCAGTCGCTTATTCGCAGAGATCCGTAGCTATTATCTCAGTCGGTGGTGGAGCTGGGGAACGACAGTGGGCAATTAGCGATTAATGCGGGGTACCAAGTGATTTAATTCTCCTCGGTTTTGGGGCAATGAAATTGGGGAAAAGAGACTGCCGAGGGCTTGGGGCTTTGATCTAGTGCAGGCAATAGCCACCATGCACGGCCGAGTATAGGGACATCATCCAAAGAGAAACCCAAGCATATTGCCACTTGGCTGCCCACCCACACAGCCAAATGCAGCCGTGGATAATTCGTTTTTGGTCTGAGGAATTTGTTCATTCAAATGGTAGGAAGCTGCGGCAGTGCGACTTGAAGAAGTTGGGGTACAAGGGTGCTTGCGCATGTGTAAAGACGGTCTGCGCTACTATCCGCTCTTCTCGGCCCAAGACGGCTCCTCTCCAATCTAATAAGCTCAATCTCTCACATATGGAACACCTACCAAGCGAGACAGCGGACGAAACCATGTGACAGACCCAGCCAAAGTCATCACGATAGCGATCCCCCAGTTCAAGAATGGCCTGGGCTGGGTGGCTGCAAAGGCGCCTCGCACATGACCGGGCCTCCCGTGACTGAGCAAGAGAGAGTCCGATTCAGTTATTCCATAAGCAGTGGAGCAATTCATGTCAAAGGAATTGCCTACTACGTATGTACGTAACTGCGGTTTTACATGTGACGAAAGGCCGAATCCCGGTTGGGCCTAGCGCCTCCCCCGGAAATTCCCCTCGGTACCCGCAGCGGTGCTTAGCCTGGAGCCGAGGCTCGTTGCAGCACCTTCCGTCACATCAGCAGGGAGCTCCTGCCGCAAACGCCTTGCATCCATTCTCCTGTTAAAGGCTGTTGGCTCCTCCACCACAACCTCACCCAAACAACCAGCCGCTCTCTCCCAATCCCCATCCCAGCTCCCGACTGCAGATACCGAGCCTCTTCTGTACTATCGCCGGAGAACCATATTCACACAACACTCTACAGCCATGGCGGAACAGCTGCGATACGACGGCCAGGTCGTTGTCGTCACAGGTGCCGGCGGCGGTCTTGGAAAGGTCTACGCCCTCTTCTTCGCCTCGCGCGGTGCCAGCGTCGTTGTCAATGACCTCGGTGGTTCATTCAAGGGCGAGGGAAACTCCTCAAAGGTAAGCTGTCCTCTCGTTCTTGCCGCAATTCCCATCAGCATCATGCCGGACGCGCAATGCCTATAGAGTTTTGCTAACCATCGTACGCCGCTTTGTAGGCCGCTGATGTCGTAGTCGACGAGATCCGAGCCGCTGGCGGCAAGGCCGTTGCCAACTACGACAGCGTCGAGTTCGGCGACCGCATCATCGACACCGCTATCAAGGCTTTTGGCCGCGTCGATATCCTCCTCAATAACGCTGGTATCCTCCGCGATGTTAGCTTCAAGAACATCACAGACCAAGACTGGGATCTCATCAACAAGGTCCATGTCAAAGGTGCCTACAAGTGCGCTCGCGCTGCTTGGCCACACTTCAGAAAACAAAAGTACGGACGTGTCATCAATACAGCCTCGGCTGCTGGCCTGTTTGGAAACTTCGGCCAGACCAACTACTCTTCGGCCAAGCTCGCCATGGTCGGCTTCACAGAAACTCTTGCCAAGGAAGGCATCAAGTACAATATCTTGGCCAATGTTATTGCCCCCATTGGTAAGTTGGCAGATTGCCTCGCACCTATACATTGAGAGCTGGCTCAACTAACCAACTACTTTGCAGCTGCTAGCCGTATGACGGAGACAGTGATGCCACCTGATATGCTTGCGCACCTTAGACCCGACTGGGTTGTACCCCTCGTTGCTACTCTGGTCCACAAGAGCAACACAACCGAAACCGGTGGCATCTTTGAGGTCGGTGCTGGCCACATGGCCAAGCTTCGATGGGAACGATCAAGCGGTCTTCTCCTCAAGGCCGACGACTCTTATACGCCCAGCGCTATTATCAAGAACTGGAACAAGGTCGTCGACTTCTCTCAACCACAGTATCCATCTGGCCCCAACGACTTCTTAACCCTCTTGGAAGACTCCCAGAAGCTGGGCCCCAGTGAGCAGGGCGAGAAGATTGATTTCACCGGCAAGGTTGCATTGATCACTGGCGCGGGTGCAGGCATCGGCCGGGCTTACGCCCTGGCCTTTGCCAAGCATGGTGCTTCAATCGTGGTCAACGATCTGGTAAACCCCGATACAGTTGTTGAGGAGATCAAGAAGCTTGGTGGCAAGGCCGTTGGTGTCAAGGCCTCTGCTGAGGATGGCGATGCCGTGGTCAAGGGCGCCATTGACGCATTTGGCCGTGTCGACATTGTCGTCAACAACGCTGGTATTCTCCGGGATAAGGCATTCACTAACATGGATGACAATCTATGGGACCCTGTTATGAATGTCCATCTCCGTGGCACATACAAGGTCACCAAGGCTGCCTGGCCTTATTTCCTTAAGCAAAAGTATGGCCGTGTGATTAACACCACCTCGACGAGTGGCATTTACGGAAACTTTGGCCAAGCCAACTATGCCGCCGCGGTAAGTCAAAGCGCCCTAAATTTGGTCAATTGTCCGATCAATACTAACGTTACTAGAAATGCGGTATCCTCGGTTTCTCTCGTGCTTTGGCTATCGAGGGCTTCAAGTACAACATCTTCGTCAACACCATTGCCCCCAACGCCGGCACTGCCATGACTGCCACGATCATGCCAGAGGAGCTGATCCAGGCCTTCAAGCCTGACTACATTGCTCCTGTCGTCCTCGCTCTCTGCAGTGACAAGTGCCCCGACCCTACTGGCGGGCTCTACGAGGTTGGAAGCGGTTGGGTTGGCCGCACTCGCTGGCAACGAGCCGGTGGCCACGGCTTCCCTGTCGACAAGGATTTGGTGCCTGAGGAGGTGGTCAAGCACTGGGCCGACATTGTTAACTTTGACAGCCCCAGCGCTGATCACCCAGAGAAGATGCAGGACTCTCTCTCAAAGGTCATGGCCAACTTGGAAAACAGGGCCAACAAGAGCAAGGTATGAAATATTCCAATCGATACCTGATCTCTCTTGTATATATGCCCTTATCTAGCGCTAGAAATCAATCATGTACTTGTCGTTTGTAAAATATCTTTTCCTATGCTAACATTGGGTTTGCTTAGGAGGAGGGCGCTGCCAGTAATGAACACCTGGATGCCATCAAGAAGGCGCTCAGCGAAGAAGGCAAACCAACTGAATTCAAATACGACGAACGTGATGCCATCCTCTACAACCTCGGAATCGGAGCCAAGCAAACCGACCTGAAGTACGTCTTTGAAGGCTCCGAAGACTTCCAGGTTCTGCCAACCTTCGGCGTCATCCCCCCCTTCAACGCCGAGATGCCATTTGACTACGATGCCGTTGTGCCAAACTTCTCCCCCATGATGCTCCTTCACGGCGAGCAGTATCTCGAAGTCCGCAAGTGGCCCCTCCCCACTGCCTCAACCCTCGTCTCCAAGGCCCGCTTGCTCGAGGTCGTCGACAAGGGAAGTGCTGCCATCCTGAAGAACGGCGTCACCACCACCATTGCCGAGACCGGAGAGGAGGTCTTCTACAACGAGATGACCGTCTTCCTCCGCGGCTGCGGTGGTTTTGGCGGCCCCAAGCGAGGCAAGGACAGAGGCGCTGCTACGGCTGCCAACCAGCCTCCCAAGCGCGCACCCGACGCTGTTGTCGAGGCCGAGACGAGGCCGGACCAGGCAGCCATCTACCGCCTGAGCGGAGACTACAAGTAAGATTCATCCCTACTGGAAACCAATCAGCAACTGACTCTTTCCAGCCCTCTTCACATCGACCCATCCTTTGCCAAGATGGGCGGCTTCAAGGCCCCTATCCTTCACGGCCTCTGCTCGTTCGGTTTCGCCGGAAAGGCCGTATATGAAAAGTAAGAAACGCCACTTTATCCCATCACCCTATATAATCGTATCAGGTTTTCTGACCTCGGTTTCCAGGTACGGCCCCTTCAAGAACATCAAGGTCCGCTTCGCCGGCCCCGTCATCCCTGGCCAGACGCTCGTCACGGAAATGTGGCGTGATGGCAACAAGGTCACCTTCCAGGCCAAGGTCAAGGAGACTGACAAGGTTGTCATCGCCGGCGCGGCAGCCGAGCTTGTGCAGGGCGAGAAGAGTAAGATCTAAAATCGATGCGATCCCTGTTTTTTAATAATTGCTCTTTTTCCCCATCTACGATAGAATGATGTGTTTTGGATAACCGGGGTGGGTGTGGCGACGAGCCCGTGTATATTAATGAGTGTTCTTCTGAAATGCAAGTCAAGACAAGCTACTGACACATACACGCTATTCCGCCTTGTGAATCCATCCGTTGTAGGGTCTTGTAGCATTCTATACCTCAATATTTGGGTCGCTGTACTAGTGATAATGATGATTGTAATCAACTAAGTGAGTGGAACAGAGTGGTGTCGCTCGCTAAAGAGCACTCCCATTCGGCTCTACGTGTGTCTGTCCGTCCTAACGATCCATTTAACGCCGCTATATGTATGTACACGCTTGTATTAAGTAAACAATAAAGCACAGTGTATTCCGGGAAAAGAAAAACGAGATCATTCTGTAATCTCATGGGTTCTGTCTGAGATC